TTTTTTTTTTTTAAAAAAAAAAAAAAAAAAAAAAAAGAAGACAATAATACCTACTCGTATGTTATGCAGACTGGCCAGGTTATTGCAACTGCATTAAATGTTGTACATACATCTTATTCCTTTGGGGATTTAATGCTTCTAATGAAGGCAGCCGAGTCCAACCAGGTATTTGGTTCTTGGCGTGTTTATGGCACTAATCTTTTGTTGTAAGCATTTAGCAACTTTGAATGTCTGGTCAATTATAATGAACCAAACCATAATGAACCCTACTTATTTACCACCCTTGCGAAAGTGGCTTTCTAATTGTTCTATAGTTGGAGATCTTTCTACCACTGTCCCCACCCCGCTCTCCCCTTTAAAATACTCCACTCCCAAAACTTGTATACTTTTTGTTTAAGAATAATAAATTATCCGGCTCTTTCTCGTTAATCCATCATAGGCTCTTTCTGGTTTTGGATTCCGTAACTGTGAATTTTTGTGCGTTGACCTGCAGTATGACCATAAGATCATCTAGGAAACAAATCCTAAATTGGAAATAAATATCGAACTGTGATTAAAGTGCATATCCTGATTGGTACGGTTAGAAGCCAGACTCCCGTACTGTTAACAAAGTTGAAACCAGAAAGACAAAGATAAGATATTATTCATAAAGGCGGCCTCAATCTGTAGTCAAAGATCAGTGTAGATTATACTGAGGCGATTTTAGGGACCACTAAGAATGTAGACTTCATTTTTCAGGATTTCTTAAGGTAGAACGCTAGCATTTTACTAATGCAATCACTGAACCAATGGAAGGTTAGAGAGGGAAACTCCTCTCTAGAATTTTAACGGTTTAAGTCTAGCCTTTTTATCGATGTTTATATCTTAACAAAATGACGTACAAACACTTTCATCAGGATTTTAGAACCAAGCATAAAGTTTTCATTTTTAGATTAGATAACTCATGGAGTGAGATTGAGATCACTGAAAGGAACAGAGTGCAGAGTTTTTCAATACAGGTGGACTTGGGATGTGCGGCATGCAATGAAGCATTAATCAAGGGTAAGGAGGTAGGTTTCAGAAGATTTTACAGATGGTCAAGCTATAGGTTGAATTGGAATGCAACAGGAGTAGAGGTGGGAACTTCATGAAGATCTCGAAGGAATGGAGGAATAAGAAATATAGTTATTCCAGGGGGAGTATGCTTTTCAAGGGTGGGAGAAGTTCAAAGGCCGTCTTCAGAGTTTCTTCAACAAGAGTAGTCATCAAAAAGTTCAAATGGCGGGAGTAAGATTGAGTAAGGGATGCCCCTTCGAAGGAAAGAAGGTAGAAGTGGTAAAATCCTGGAAAACGACAGTGATAGTTATAAGGAGAAGTGTGGATGCTGATTAGAAGGTGATTAAGGACTTAATCGATAGCAGGCTGTCGCGATTGGTGGAGGTGGTTCCTATGGCAGTAGATAGAACTGTTGTTTGGTGCCGGGATGCAGCAAAGAGAAGTTTGTTGTTGAATGAAAAAACTCTATTTTGTTGAAGAAACACAATAGCAAGAATGGAGCCATGGTCAATATTTTCTCCTTGGGAGCATGTCAAGATTGAGGCAAGGAATAGTTGGATTAGGATTGAAGGATTGCCTTTGAATCTGTGGAATGCTCATGCTTTCAAGATCATAGGCGAAGCTTGTGGAGGACTACTGGAGATCGCCAAAGACATAGTGGACCAATCGTTCCTACTGCTTGCAAAAATTAAGGTTAGAGGTCTTAAGGAAGGTATCATGCCAAGGCGAGAGGATCCATCTGGGTTTATTTAACTTGGAGAACAATCAATATCATTCCATCAAAGAACAAGGGGCTTGCTGTTCAGAATTGTTGAAGGTTTCAACAAGCAAGCGAGAGGAACCTCTAGAGAATGTGGGGATGAAAAATTCGGAATTAGACTCGTTCATTGTGGTAGAATTCTCGGCGAGGAAATAAGAACAGGTTGGAATATGGCGTAAGCTTCGGCACTCAAGAATCCTTGGCTCGACGGAGAAGACAGTGGCAGTAGGGATGGAATTGAAAAGTCGGGAGGCCATTCCAAACTGGATCGTCGTCGACATGGGTTCCACGTGTCAAGCATATTGACGGGGAGGTTTCACGCGCTCTTGTGAACTCGACCCACGTGGCTTCTTATCCATTGCAGCCACCACTTTCAAGAGATTTGTGAGATGAGAGAGAATCAAAAGTGGAAGCGACATTTCTCGTTTCTGAAGCCAAGCAGTTACACCTACCGCCTAAAAAGAGGGAATTAATTCTCTGCAATTATTTCGAGATATTGGGGGAAGTTGATAGTCTTGAAGGGATTCAGGCCCCGTTCTTTTCGCAGATTCGAGTTTAGAATTCGAGTTTTGCTACAGTAAAAAGCTCTCAAAAATAGTTACATCTAACTTTTTTGCTACAATAAAAAGCTCTCACACAACATTACATTTCAACTCGAATTAAAAACTCGAATTAGCAAACCGAACGGGCCCTCAGTTTACAAAAAGTGATCAAGCCTAATTCTATTTTAGGCCCAAAACAACTGGGCTGGGAGATGGTAATCTGGAATTGGATGACTCTAAAGTGGGCCCTAGTAAGGCAAATTTAGAACCGACAAAGGGACCAATAATTAAGAAGGGCAATTGGTGGAGGCCCAAAAATAAGGCTGATTTTGTTTGGGCTAAAATCAAAAAGTGGGAGGATGAGTTTTAGAAGAAAAATCCAAAAAAGCCCGTTCTACATTATTCTAGTGATGGAGAGCCTGGAGAATTGTAGAATCAAGCCATACCCATTTGTTTACCGAAGATTGAGAAAAAAACAAAAAAGGCAAAGAAGTTCTAATCGGTTATGGGCCTAATAGAGAACCAGAGTACATACTAGAAGGACAGGAGTGAATCAAAGGGAGGAATTAATACGCACTCAGTTTCTTCATTCTGCTCGACAGAGGAGAACAAGGGTTTGGATGATCGGGAAGGATTTGTGGGACTCGAGGATCTGAGATTTCTTTCTGCACTAGAAAATCGAGAGGAATTGGCTGTTGAGAATAGAGAGGGAAACAATCTTCTCGAGTTTTGCGAGGAGCAGGCTCTAAGCCCAAATGTGCTGATTGTATCTCCATTGGCATCTCTGGCTCCACATGACATGGGGGAGAATACGGCGATTCATTGAGAAGAAGGTTGTTGGCAGAGGAGTTGAGGAGGGCTGATCCATGTTCGAAGGAAGATAATAAGCAGCTTGTAAAATTGAGTCAGTGCGGCACAGTGATGATTGGGGGTAAAAAAAAGTGATTGGAGCAAAATTAGGTCCGCGCTTCGAAATTTGACTCTAATTGATGGGCTCAAAGTTGGGAATGCATGATAATGTTGAAGGTACTATGAAGACAATTAGAAGAAAGGGCCAAGAGAGGGAACTTAAGAATTTGGAATTTAATGTTCAATTTGATGAAAACGTTATTGGGGCAGCAAAAGTTTATCAATGAAGTTGATGTCGTGGAATATTAGAGGAGGAAATTCCTCATTAAAAGGAAGGGGAGTTAGGGAGGTTGTGTGCAAGGAAGCTCTGGAAATTCCTAATTCTTGGGAGAATTCTCAGTCACGATAAAGCTAATGTTGTGGAATATTAGAGGAAATTCCTAATTCTTCAAGAGGTCAAAAGGGATGAGGTTGACATGAAGTTTTTGGGGAGTATTTGGCAAGCTAGATTTAAGGAGTGGGTTTTGTTGTCGGCTGTAGGTCGATCAGGAGGAATTCTAGTAGTATGAGATGTTGGAAGAATTAACGTACTTGAAAGCTTTTGTTGAATTAGAGGATATTTACTTTAATAGTACCGGATTCTAGGAGATATGATAGGAATGTAATTAGGAATAGTCAATGACTAAGAATCATGAAAGAATATTAGTGTACAGCTATTAGTTTCCTAGTTTAGCTCCTTGTTTTATATTCTATTTAAACTAATGTACTGTACTACATTGATAAGTGAGCAATACCATCATTCTTCCATTAAACTGTGTTCGCCTATTTGGTATCAGAGCCATTGCCGATACCCTTAGAAACCCTAGCCGCCATGTCTGAGGTTGCATCTGAATCCACCACTTCCTCTGTTAGTCAAACCAAAAATCCTGAGTCTCAAGTCCAAAATTCTGAAATTCACTATGTCCAAATCACCACTATTCGGCTGAATGGTGAAAACTTCCTCCGCTAGTCTCAATCCGTGCGGATGTATATTAGAAGCAGAGGCAAAATTGGTTACCTGACCGGGGAAAAGAAAGAACCAGAGACCAAAGATCCGTCTTACTCGACCTGGGATGTAGAAAACTCAATGGTAATGACTTGCTGATGAATTCAATGGAGGACATCAATTCCAATTATATGTGTTACCACACGGTGAAAGAACTTTGGGACAACGTTAACCAGATGTACTCAGACCTGGGAAATCAGTCCCAAGTCTTTGAATTGACGCTGAAACTCGGACGGAGATGACAGCGTTACAAAGTACTTCAACTCCTTGAAGCGCCTGTGGCAAGATCTTGATCTATTCAGCTATTATGAATGGAAATCGCCGGAGGATTGTAACTATTACAAGAAGACTGTCGAAGACAATCGTCTCTTCAAGTTTCTCATCGAGCTCAATGTCGAATTCGATGAAGTTCGAGGGAGAATCATTGGAAGATAGGCTCTGCCCTCAATCGGAGAAGTCTTCTCAGAGGTTCGTAGGGAAGAAAGTCATAGGTTGGTCATGCTGGGAAAAAAATCATCATCAAATGGTGCTGTTGAGACCTCTGCCTTGGTTGCTGCCGAAGCAAATATTTGGTAAGAAATTTGATGAGAAGCCTCGTCTCTGGTGTGACCATTGCGGAAATTGGAAGAGCAAACAGGATGGCAGATCTAGCCGTGCACCCTCAGCCCATGAAGCCGAGGCGTTCCCCTTTAACAAAGAGCAGATGGATCATCTACTAAAACGGCTGGAATCCAATTCTTCTTCTGGTACTCCTAATGCTTCCCTTGCTCAAACAGGTAACAACCCAAAAGCCTTGTCCTGTCGTTTAAATCCCCCTGTTACCCCATGGATCATTGATTTGGGGGCCTATGACCATATGACCAGTTTTTCCTATCTATTCCAAACTTATTTACCTTTTTCCGGCTCTGAAAAAATTAAAATAGCCGATGGTTCA